ATGTCGGTATTGCTTGCAATGGTCCATGTATTGATTGCCAATAGCCATTGAGAATTCCCACTTTGTTCCCTTTGAGTTGTCCCCACAGTATTTGTGTAGATTGAAATATTACCTTATGTGAAATGGTTTGCTTGGGGACAAGCAAACGTCTAAGTGTGGAGGAGTGATTCAGGCCTAATTGTACATGTTTTGCCCCCGTTTTCCTTAGTGGTTTATGGTAACTTCGCTCCTAAAAGGGTTTTTTTTACACTAGGTTTCTCGTTTTTTAGTGTGTTTCAGGATTTAACATGTGAAACCAGCCTCGGAGTCGAAAGTAGGACGAAAAGGATCGAAAACCGGGAGAAGAGGTGGAAAAGGGCCAGTTCACGGCTATCCCAGGAAGTTCACGGTCTTCCACGACCGTGAAAAAGAGCCATTGACCGTGAACCTCGAGGCGTCCGGAGCCAAAACATAAGTTACTAACGCAAGGTGAGTTCACGGTCACTAAGATCGTGAACTAAGGTCGTCGACCGTGAACGGATGTGAACAAAGAGGTGTGTTTTGACGTTCATCTGTAGTTCACGGACGCGTTTCATGGTTCATGGCGGTGAACTCAGGCCGTGAACTGAGCTCGTCTCTGGTTTAAAAGATGAGCTAAAAGGAGGAGAGAGGGGAGAGCCCATTTGTGTGAAAAGCCTTCTTCAAATTTCTAGAGAGAGAAACAGGAACCAAAGGAGGAGAAGGCTAGGGTTTTGCTTCAAGGTGGATTTTGGGAAGATTTCCTCCAAGGAAAGTTCAACACAAGGGCCAAGAAGATTAGGAGCATCCTCCAAGATGGTTTCTACCTCTTCTCCTTGTGTTTTTTCTATTTCTAGCATTGAGTAGATTTCCTTTCACTTGGGTGTTGTGAAACCCTAACTCTACCATGCAGTTTCTTTTATGTGAATTGAATGATCTTCATTAGGTATTGGTTAATTCAATGATTGAGGTATTATCCACGTTGATTGTGCATGCTTGTGCTTAGCAGCTAAGGGTAGTGCATGTTTTGTGCTTAGCATCCTTAGGTTTGTGCATTTTGGTGCTTAGCAACCTAAGGATTGTGCAGAATTATGCTTAGCATCCTTAGGTTTGTGCATGTTGGTGTTAGCAATCTAATTAGCCACTTTAATCTATCTAAGAGAGGAAAATCCCCCTTCCAAGGGAGACTCAATCGAGTTGGTTTTCCTTTAGCTTTTTAAGCCACCTAACTAGGTTAATTTAGGGCAAACCTCAATGTTGAAATAAGCAAATTGGTTAATCGCGATTAAGCCGTCTGACCCTTGACTTGAGTGAGGGAGTAAGTCAACTACCGATTGCCTAAACCGAGAGGGTCGAGTGACACGGCCTATATTGTTTACCTCCGTTTAGCAATTGAGATTGTGGTCTTTGACCATATATGCATCCCTCTGCGGTTCGCTGTTACCTTGCCCAAAGCAATCGTTCCAATTCACATACCATTGTAATAGTTAGGGGGAAGCGACACCCGAGTGATCCTTCCACAAAAGAGTTTTCAAAACCATTTACGTTTGCCTTATTTTATTGTAATTAGCAAACTTTTAAACCAAAACTTTGTTGCTAGATAATGATTAAAATGACCGAAGTAAGGGGTAGACGGACCGACTCGGGTGATATTTTAAACATACTTATCCTATACTGCACCTTAGGCGGGAATTATTGTGGTATTCGGAATGAGTCAACGGAGAAAATGGAGCAAAAGGGCTGAATGTGCAGAGATCACGGTTGCGAAAAATGGAGCAAGGTTCTAGGAAGATTTGTATGGCAAGCGGGCAACGTCAAGATCACGGTCTCATACCGTGATGTCAACCACCAGCCATGAAGTTCGTAAGTGAAACGACGCATTTTGCGCCGAGATCACGGTTCCCTTGCCGAATTCACGGGCGTGATCTCCTACCGTGATTCTTGCACTCGGGGACTATAAAGGAAGAGTTAGCTAAATTCAAAAGAGAGAGTCCTAGAGAGAGATTGGAGCTTCTTCTTCAAGGTTTAGAGAAAGAGAGCTACGAGCCAAGGAAGAAGGAAGGATAATTTCACCTACCCAAGGATAGAGGAAGGTTGATTTCTTCTCCAAATGTTGAATCAAACATCTAAGAAGAAGGAAGATCATCTTTGTATGAGTTTTTCTTCTCTCTTATATGTATTTTCATCTCTAGCTATGGAGTAGTCTCCAATTTCACTTGGATGTTGTGAACCCTAGTTTAGGATGTGTTAAATTATAGGAACCAAACTCTATGTTTGTTGGATTTGTGATTAATATAATGTTTGATGTATTATTCATGGAATTAGTGCCATGCTATCGTCTTGATTGGTTAGTTTCGCCATTCCAGATTACTTTTCGAGATAGTGATTTTGTAAACTTTGGTCGATCGATTAAGAGGCTTAGGGTTTCCTAGTTAATCGTGACAATCCTTAATCGATCAGTTGAGAGAGTAGGGGGTTTCCCTAGCTAACTGTGATCTCCTACCTATATATGATCCTACTTATCACTCTAGAGTTTGTTCGTTGTATCTCGTTCGTTGTATCTTGGAACGAGACTAAGGGAGCAATATCCTAGTGATTCTTTCTCAATCGAACTCATCAAAATTTTCTCGCTTGTTTAATTTGTTTAGTCTTATTAGCTTTAACTACAATCCGATTGCTAGGTAACCTGTGAACAATTGAAATAAGGGTAAATAGACCGGCCGGATTGATATTGAAATACTTACCCTATCATACACCCTTTATAGGTTGCACTTGGCCTATAATTGGTATTAAGTATAATGATAGCGCGAGTCAACCGTTCCTTTCCAAAAATCCTCTCTTCGAATTGAGAACTATCAGGATTTTTAAAAAGAAGAATATGCAAGGTCCAAGGATTACAGTTTGAGTAGGCCCACAAGTGTGCCAACCCAAAATAATTGGTCTATTTGAAAATATGCTAAACTCAAATCCCAATTTCATTTGTATCTTTTACACATATGATATTCTACTCCTCTCGTCGGAAATATTCGACGATTCACCAATTTGCTTCACAAAAATGGCAGCTTAAAATTCTCAGACGAGGGATGAACTGTTCCTTCTAGAAACTCATATCTTCGAATTCAGAACAGTGCAGGATTATTGTAAAAACAAGAACAGACAAAGCCCAACAAAAATAACTTGGGTAGGCTCACAAGTGTGATAGACCTAAGAACTTGATCTATTCAGAAATATGCTAAGGCCACGTTTGGAACCTCCGATTACATATGTTGTATTCTCACTATACATGTATCTGGTAGAATACAATGTTTTTTGCTTGATGTAATAACAGAATGCATGTATTCATAATCCATGTTGTATTCCTAATACATAGAAAATTATGTATAGTGAATCTTACCTTTTTTGTGAGATTTTAGTATCCATAGTTCATTTAAACTATAATCCATGCATTCTTTTATGATTTTCAAATAATTAATTTTCAAAACCACACATTCTTGGCCTCGTTTGGAACCTTCGATTACAAACGTTGTATTCTCAATATACAGGTATCCGATAGAATACAACAATTTTTAATTTGATGTAATAATAGAATGCATGTATTCATAATCTATATCGTAATCCTAATACATAGAAAATAATGTATCGTGAATCTTACCTTTTTGGTGAGATTTTAGTATTCATAGTTCATTTAAACTATAATCCATGCATTCTTTTATGGTTTCCAAACAATAAATTTTAGTATCCATAGTTCATTTAAACTATAAAGCTAGACACCCGTCCACCACTCACCGGAGAAAGGTGCCATCGATGGCCTCTGGTTGAAGGCCGAGTTGCTCCAATTTGGGAGAGAGCGACGAGCCGACGAGGTTTCGTAAGTCCTTGTCCGATTCAGGCGATTCTTCATCATGTTCAACCTAGACCACTAAATGCCCAGATCTAGCACAATATGCTTCTTTGATTTTTTGCCACTACATGTCCAGATCTGGTGCCATCTGCTTCTTCGATTTCGACCACTGAATGTCCATATCTGGCACCATACGTCGCCTTCCAGCTCCGTCGTCTCCTCGGTCGGCCAGCTCCTCTCCGTCGGCGCCTCGGTTGGCTACCGCGTCGCCACGCAAGTCTATGAGATAGTTGTTGGTCCCAATCCAACTCCCGTTGCTGATTGAATTACATCTTTTTTGTTGGATTTCTTCCTTTTTTTATGCTTGTGTGTGACAATTAGAGTAGGTTTGAGTGAATGAGATTTATTCCGAAAGCAGAGGACCCTAATTAAGAGAGAGAAATCTGGAAATGGATTAAAGCGGAGAAGAAGCGAAAGATTGAAGTGCAACAGCGGGATTGCGAAAGAAAGTCGGGTAACTGGATTGCTAACCGGTAACCAGATATTCGGTATTTGGTAAACCGACTGACTCTCGATACCGGTAGTCGAAAGTCATTCACATGATTCAGTATACCGATAACGGATTAATCGGTATCCAATTAAACCGGTTACCGACCGAGCCCAGATATTTCAATCTTGCTCCAAGCCTAATTTCATTTATTTATATCTCTTATCCATGTGGCCTGTAACTCCTCATGTCTAGAAATCCAGACAACATAAAATTCACAAAATCCAAGGTCCTTTCCAAAAACTCCTCTCTTCTTCGCCATGTCTCTACCTAAACTGCTTCACACCTTTCTTCGTCGCCTCGCACTATCACATTACCTTCTCGCCATCAGGTTAGCTTTTTGCTCCTTCTCCTCTGCTTCTCCATTTTGATCGACTCTCTCCATTTTGATCTTCGCATTTGGTGGTTTTCGATTGCGATTTCTGCTCATTTCCTGCTTGCATGAATGTCACTTCAGCTGGGCCAGAGTTTTTCTGAAGTGACGCTTGATTCAATTTCTTATCAGAAATGGTCGAGAAATGATTTTTGTTCATTCATGATCTTTTTGGTTTCATTTTCTGTTAGGTTCGTTTTAGGGCTGGCCGTGGGAAGTGTTTTTGTGGGTAAGCTTCAGAAATGGGGTTTGTGGACAACATGATGCAAGCGAAATCGACGAAAGTGGTTTCATCTTCCGGCAGCAGTGCTTCCCGCGGTGGCGGCAGTGGTCATGACGATGGTGATGGTGGTGGTGGTGGTCGGGGTAAGTTTAAGCCGCCGAGGGTTTGGTGTGTTAGGCATTACCCCCCAAATTGTGGGCCTTGTAGTCGTTCTAGACCAGATGGGTCAGCAGCAGTCTCTAGTCTTAGCAATGGAGATGATGACTCCGGTTTTGGACTTTCTGCAACTAATGTGGAAGCTCTGGATTTAGAACCAGATAGTAACTTGGGAGTTTCTAGTTCTAGTGTTATAAATCCAGTGCGCTTGGAGAGCTGCACCAGTGTTGTTCCTGATGATTGTTGTGGTTTCATTGGACATCCTGTGGCTAAGATCGAATCCCGTGATTTAAGAGTGTCTGAAAATTTGTATGAGACAGATATTCTTGGGGAAATGGATACTGTCAAGTCAGAGTTAAAGAGTCCAGCAGTGTCACCTGACTATACGAATGGATGCTTAGCAGATATGCCGGAATCTGTTGGTACTTCACTATCAGAATCATGGAATGCGGCAGCGGGTGAATGAACAAGGAGAAGTTTCAAACTGTGAGATTATTGGTTCGCTACAACATTCTTCCAAGGCAGATGTTACTGGTCCCTTGAAAGAAACTTCCATGCATAAATATCCTCCTAGGGAGAAAAGTGTCAGCTGTTAGACACTTCCCACCAACTGTGGAAGAAATGCTAAACCTCCTAGTAAGCAAGAACAAGAGAAATTAGGTGCTGTGGAAGAGGTCAAAGATGTTAGTATGGATGGTGGAGCTCACAGGGGCAGGTCTGAAAGCAATGTCCCAGAACAGAAGCAATGTTAAGGTTCACGTGAAATATTCTAGTGAGAAAGCAACGAAGAGTGGTGATGAAGTCGAAATTTGTTCTGGGAATGTTGCAAGGGTTGATCAAGAATGTGGACCTGATAGAGGCATTAGGTCACATTATCAGATTGGGGAAAAGTCTAAGGTAGTCCATAAGTCTGATAACAAAGGAGAACTGAAGGGGCTCTTGCAGGCAGAATCTGTTGTTTGTAAGGCAAAGGTTGCTGCCGAAAGACACAGCAAAAAGCTTACTGTCTCTGAGGAGTTTGTTGGTCTCAATGTTGCATCAGAAAGGGCGGTGGTGGTAGGTCTTATGGCCTCGACTGCCAATTCTTTGATCAAGGTAGATAACTTACTTAGTGATGGAAGTGAAAGGAACAATAATACTAAAAAACAAGCTACAACACAAGAACAAAGAAAATCGGTTACCTCGGTGAAGGTCAAACCATCATCTAAACCCACAAGACATGAATTTTCTAGGGGGGATGATGAACTAGATGACACAAAGGAAAATGAGAAATGTGTTGGTTCCCAATTAGTTAGGAGGAAAACTACTTTAAGTGTGAATCTGACTCCTTTTGGCACTACCCACTTCCAAAGGCTCCAACAGTGCAAGAAAGAAGGTGAGGGAAGTATTACGCTTATTCCATATTATTGTAGGAAGTTGGTGCATGAAGCAGAAATAAACCCCAGCCAAAGAAAAAATCTCAAATCGGGTCGACTGTATTGCTGCCAAAGAGCTGAAAAATAGAGGAATGTGCCTCAATGAAGGCCAGCGTATAATTGGAGCTTTTCCAGGAGTTGAAGTTGGTGATGAGTTTCTGTACCGAATGGAGCTTAACATTATTGGTTTTCATCGCCAGACTCAAGCCGGTATCGATTGTATGCAACAAGGTCAAGATTTGTTAGCAGTAAGCATTGTAGCATCAGGTGGATATGAGGATAACTTAGATAGCTCAGATATATTAGATTACACAGGTCATGGTGGAAAGACTAAAGATAAGGAAGCTGAAGATCAGAAGCTTGAAAAAGGTAATCTTGCTTTGAAGAATAGCATTAAGGCAAAGAATCCTGTAAGAGTGATTCGTTGCAGAAATGAAATGTCGAAGGTTTATGTATATGATGGTTTATACACCGTGGATGAAGTATTGGCAAGAGCCAGGACCACATGGTAAGCTAGTTTTCAAGTTTCGGATGGTTTCGAGTTCCGGGTCAACCAGAGTTAGCTTGGAAACAGGTGAAGAAGTCTAAAAAATCCAAAGTCCGGGAGGGCTTGTGTGTGGGTGATATATCTCAAGGGAAAGAGTTGATTCCTATATGTGCCGTGAACACAATAGACGATGAGAAGCCACCAGCATTTAAGTACATCACTCGGATGATATATCCGAAAAAACCTCACCCCTCCCAGTGGTTTGCAACTGTAGAAATGGGTGCACTGAGTCAGGTTCGTGCTCTTGTGTGGCGAAGAACGATGATCATATTCCATACAACCATAATGGAGCAATTGTTGAAGCGAAGGATCTTGTCTATGAGTGTGGCCCTTCATGCAAGTGTCCGCCTTCTTGCTTCAATAGAGCCAGTCAGCACGGAATTAAATTCCAGCTCGAGATTTTCAAGACGCATTCGAAGGGGTTGGGGTGTTCGATCCTTGAACTCGATTTCTTCCGGGAGTTTCATTTGTGAGTATGTTGGAGAACTTCTTTGAAGATAACGAGGCCGAACGAAAGGCACTAATGATTGAGTATCTGTTTGATATCGGTGGGCATAGTGATGAAGAAGATGCGCAGGACTCTAACTTCACAATTGATGCTGCAGAGTTTGGTAATGTGGGGAGGTTCATCAACCATAGTTGCTCCCCTAATCTTTATGCCCAGAATGTGCTCTATGATCATGGGAATCGGAAGATTCCTCATATAATGTTCTTTGCTGCTGAGAACATTCCCTCCTTTGAGAGAGTTGACTTACCACTACAAACTATCAGATAGATCAAGTTTGTGATTCGCATGGCAACATCAAGAGGAAGAACTGCTACTGTGTTCTGCAAGAGTGCACGGGTCGGATGTATTAAGGCCGATATGTTATGGATTCTGAAAGTAGCAGCTGCCGGATTTTTTCTAGCTCAGTAAATGTAAGTTGATGCGATGAAGTTTTGTATTTTTTTTACTCCCGTAGTCAGAAAATTTTGATGATGATCTATGGGCACCGTGAAGTCAATGTTCTCAGTGTTCTACATGTTTATGGCCGAGTATCTTAGATGTTTAACAGTCCCATGCTGTTGATATCTCTATTGGCTGTTACTCTCTGTTCTACTTAATTGATCATGAAAGTAGCAGCATGTATGTTATGATGGTCTCTGGCATTGTGCTAGAACTGAAATTGTAGCCCCCTTTTTTTTATACCAGTTAGATGTCAAATGACTCTGCGGATTTTAGTTTAGCTTGACTTAAACTTCTACGCTTATAGTTATTACTTGTCAAATATTTTTCATGTGATTGCGACAAAGAGTTACTCTTTTTCGTTCGCACTTCTTTGCTAGCAGCATATGAGGTTTAAATGTAGGTTAGGTCTTCTCGAGGGCAACGCGGATCCCTTTGTTATTTGAATCTCATTATATGTACCTTTCTTTTTCTTGATATTCATTTTCGACCCGAATTCATAGTGTTGAGCCTGCCAGCATGACGTGTTGCAATAGTGAAGATGTCCTGTATCCAAAACTTAGGATGTTCTCCAGATACTTGCATAATCTGGATCTTTGGGAGCCTTCTTGATACAGAAGCCTTAATATCTCTAGTCATATAGTAGCAGCAATAAGTCTCTTACATGAGACAGTTATTCCTTTGTGAAGGGATGTATATTTTGGGCGAAGGGGTGTGTCTCTTCGACCATAACTGCCTTTTTCTTTCCTGTTTACCTTATAAATAGGCAAGTCAGGAAGCCAAACGGCAGCATGATGAAAATAAAACAGTAATAAATTTATTCTAAGTATTAATCTGTGTTTTCGTGTTATTCTCTCGTCCGTTTGTACGATAACGAACTTTACCTTATCTTAGATATCATCCTATGTCACTACTGATGGCATTGCCTATATGGGTGGGAGTTACAATCTCTTGATTAGTTTCTCGTCTGCTCTTTTCACTACTACCAGCTTTATTCATCTGCTTGCATGTAGCAAAATAGCAGTAAACATTTTCAATCACAACTGAGTTTTCTTTTCATGGATCACTCAGGATATCTAGCAAATAGAGGCATTTTTCACTCATAATAATCATGGAGGATCTTTCAAGCAAGCTTGACGTGGGAATCATAGCCAGCACCAGGCTTCCACGAACTCGGTAAGGCCTTATTTGCTTCTACCCATTTCTGCTCCCCATTGCTAGTCCCAACTTTGACCTTTACTTTAAGAGCACCTGATGGCGGATTAGGCAAGTCCCAAACTCCACCCCACGCCTTGTTCATACTCTTCCATTCCTCATTACCCTCCTGCATATACAAAACCAAAATTTAGTAATGTTGCATGTGAACTTCATGAACTACTGCATTGTTAGGACCCAATGTTATGGTATTAGATTTGACTTGATGGTGTTAGTTCAGCACTTAACTGCAGTGGCTTAAACATGAAATATAGGTTTTTGCTTCAGAGACTCGAACAGAAGGGACTGAATTTCAGTGACTACAGTAACTTGTGGGCTAAATGTCGCTTCATGAAAAGGAAATCAGCGAGAATTATAGCTTACCGGACGTAATTTCCAAGACCAAAGATATCTTTTTCCCACACGTGGAACATAGGGCTATGGCCAAGTAGTGAGGGTAGTGGCTCTGCTCCACAACCTGAATATGAGGTTGTAGCCTGGGAACTGGCACTTTGTACGTCGATACTCGATGTCACCACCCCTTTCCAGAATAGCTCGGCCAGTATTGTTGGGCATGAGCCATGCTTCCGTAGGCATGTGCGATGGAGAATGAAATCGACATCGCCTCTGAGGCATTGTCGGTCACCACCACGTTATCCCTCCCTCTTTGCATAGGTTATCAACTGGCATCTCACCTGTGATGATGAATGATCATATCATAAATTCCGTGTGTTTTGTTTCAGCGACTTAAAAGCTGAAACATACGTATTCCATATGACTTGGAACAACTCACTCATCATTTTTCTTATATCAAACCGATTATCCATCATTTCATCAACTCTACAGCTTAATCATTCTTAAATCATGCAGTCTTACCTGGTAGCAAGCTCAGATTTCAGAAGGTTCTTACCTGGTAGCAAGCTCCACAGCCGATCCCGTCTATCCATAGCCCAGAACTCCAGCCACCAGAGCATGTGATGGTGCTTCCATGGATGCCATAACCACAAGCTCCAGCTACATAAACCAACCCATCCTGTTATATAACCATGCCAGAAACCAAAAAGAAAGAAAAGGAAGGAAGAATGTTGCTTTTCTGTTACCTGATGTGCCCAAGCAATCTGGGGCTGCGGTAGTACTCGGCTTTCGACCTTCGGAATTCGGATGATGATGACAATCCAGTAGCCTCAGGCAGCAACAGGAGTGACACAGAAGAAAGGAGGCAGATCTGAAGAACAAGACGACTCATGGTAAAGATGAAGAAGAAAGAAGCATAGAGAGGTGGGAATCTTTATTCCTACTAAGTACTAAGGTATAAAGATCAATCAATGAAAGGAAGGATTATGGTGGTCAGTGATTCAGTGGGCCAAAACTGTTCCTTTTGTTGTTTTGGTTTGAATGTAAGATGGGAATCAATGGTCCACAGAGGACAATGTTTGCTCTGTTTCTTCTGTTCTTTCTTCTCTCCCCAGTTTACCAAGAATCCATCTCTCTTTCTTCATTCATATTCAGTATTTCATTGCTGCCTAGCCTATTTAATTCTTGTTCTTGTTTCTTCCCTTTGCGTTCCCTGCTTCCCTATACCTTCTTTAATATTGGAAATGACGATTTTTTTTGTCCAATTATATCCTTTGCATTGTCCTAATCGAGTGATTAGGGGTTGTTTGACGACTGAATATGGGTGTGAGAGGTCGTCATGATGTGGTTAAAGCAGCTAGTTGTTGTTGACTCCAATGATGTTCCTTTGCTCACTACCGCCGGCGACCAATCTCTGTTGCCGCCGGCTACCAATCCTCAGGGCTCAGCCTCAATACCTCACACCAACCTGTACACTGCCATCTCAAACAACACAAACAGATCCCCTTCGTACGCGCTCCACATCGGCAGCAGGTCCTATCACTATTGATGCCAAACGTAAAACAATCTAATTAAATCAAACGTGTAAATTCACTCCTGGTGCAGTTTCTTAATTTTATCCATTGGTCATTCTAACAAAAAAAAAGGGCCATTCTAAATAGTAAATTCTGCTTTATCACTAGCTAGGCAGGTTATAGGTGACGTTTTTTTTGTTTTACAAAGGGGATTTTATTTGCACTTCAAATTGATCGGTTACCAATGAGGGAGAACAAACCAACAATCTGGGTTCCAACAAGAGGAAGCCAAAGGCATCCGGATTACAAACACATCTATGAAAGACAAGATGTAGCAACAGAGAATAAAACACACTCTGCAAGCCAACCATTCTGGAAAGAGCAAACCTCTTGACCAAAAACAGATCATCAAGAATCTCTCTTGCAACAACCAATCAAAGTGCAACAAAACCAAAATCAGGCTTGTCTGATCATATCGAATTGGTAGTTGAAAATCATCACTCCATGTGCCGCCTCCTGGGGAAAACTCAAAGGCATCCATCACAGTGAATCTAGAAACTAGACTGCATGGCGGTGGAAGAGGATATAACCAGATTGCTCCAAGTTGAGGAGGCTGAGGCAGAGAGATCAGGTTCGAAGAAAAGCAGAAGCTCCCAAGGTAGCCACAAACCTCCACGAAAACACCGAATTTCAACTGCAACCACCGTAGAAGACCCAACCCACCACCATCCGACCGCTCACCAAGCCACTCAGACACCTAAGGAGGTCGGAGAGGGAAAGAAGGGAATGGCTTCACCTTGAAGATGAGGCCACCAACGGGGGACAAACCCACCATCCAGATCTGGAAGAGGCTCCCAAGTTGCAGACTCCAGCTCCTACGACGAGCAAGCCCAAGAACAAATATCCAAGATTTGAAAGAAGAGTCATAGCTCGACTGGAAAGGAGAAAACTGAAAGCCAGAGAGGCTGGAAATCCGATTGAAAACTGCCCCGAAAACAGGCAAGAGCACCAAAGCATGAAAAGGAAACAAAAGCAGGAAAATAAAAAAGATTTGGGCTACCGCCGGTCACCTAAAAGGAGCCGGCGGCAGCCCCCGGATTCAGAAACGGAAGGCTGGAACAAGAGAGAAGGCAGAGCTTCTTTCAAAAAGGGAAAGGTAGAGAGAGGAAAGTTTCCAATTTTTTCAGTGGGATTATGGGTGACGTTGGTGGAAAACTCTCTAACTAACCTAATTTGGCATGGCTATAGTGACGGGTACAGGAGCATAGATAGGGTTTCGATAAGAAGGGTCCGGATCGGGTCAGTAATCCATCAGTAACTCCTTCCCTGGTCCACATGTCAGTCACTTTTTTATTTAAATTAAATGTGAAAAGGGCAGTACGGTAAAATTGCACTCACTCCTATTTATTGCTGATGCTGACTTTTGACCGGACAACATCAGCGCCTCCTTCTCTCTCCTCGCAAAACATTTAATTTTCCTTCCCTTAATCTTTAACGAACTATTTCTCACTCGTTTTAAGTCGAAATTTAATTTTTTTGCACAGTTACATCAGATTAATTGTGCTCTTCAAAATGATATCCACTTTTATATTTTTTGTACACGAAAAAAATTTGTCAGTTATTACCAGTATATACCATATGATTGACTGGTATTAAATAAGAGCATACCATATGGTATGAAAATTTTTCCCACATGAATATATATTTCGTTACCACCCAATACCATATGGTATAGTGTGGTAATATCAATATATATTTCGTTACCACCCAATACCATATGGTATAGAGTGGTAATACCATATGGTATTGGGTTGTAATACCAATATATATTTCGTTACCACCCAATACCATATGGTATAGTGTGGTAATATCAATATATATTTCGTTAACACACAATACTATATGGTATAGAGTGGTAATACCAATATATATATTTTGTTACCACATAATACCATATGGTATAGTGTGGTAATATCAATATATATTTCGTTAACACAAATACCATATGGTATAGAGTGGTAATACCAATATATTTTGTTTACCACATAATACCATATGGTATAGTGTGGTAATACCAATATATAGTACCTAAAAGAAAGGGGAAAAAACAAAAGGAGGGAGAGAAAAAAACTTGTCTTCTATCTCATCTCATTTCATCCGCAACCAAAGAACACCAAACGCCAAAAAAATGAGAAAGATCGAAATTAAAGCCAACGAGTTGATGAAGAGAAGAAACGCAATTAAAGAGTGTGACTTAAATTTTTATTCATCGATTGCTAGAGAAAAAAAAAATGAAGATGGAAGAGAGCAGATCTAGATTTGAAAAAGAGATTGTGAGAGAAAATATAAGAAAGAAGGAATAGAGAAAGAGAGAAGATCTGGAAAGAGATTGGGAAAAAGGAAGAGAGAAGGAAGAAAGTAGAGTTGCAGAGAAAATGTCATTCTCTCTCTTTTATTGAAAAGTCAACCATTGAAATACGGAATAAATAAATAAAAATTAAAAATACAAAAACGGACAAAAATGCCCCTTCCCACCCCAACGTCCAGCCAACCACACGATTGCTCCATCCCCCAGATCTATGGCTCCTGTGTGGTTACTGATAGGTCAGTAATCAGTGGTTACTGACCCTATCCCAAACCCGATAAGAAAGGGTCTACATAGAAAAAATACACATGATTAGTTAGTGCTTTGCTTTCGTCATATAACCTTATATTTGAAAAAAATATATAAATTAAAATACATAGTAGTTGAAACTATCAAATAAGGTACTCTTTGTGTACCAAATAACTATTCATTATTTAGTTAGTGCTTTGCTTTCGAATGATGTTCTTTGTCAAGAACGGGTTAGTATCATAACTCGAGCTGTTGGGAGATGTTCAATAATGGATTTTATGTCAAAAAATTATTTATGATTATTTAGTTGTTTGTTTTCGAATGGTCTTCGTTGTCAAGAATCGTTCAGTGCAATAACTCGAGTTGTCGGAAGATGTTCAACAATAGATCTTATATGATTCACTAATATACACCGTCAAAAGAAAGCGAACTTATTTATGCTTGAAGTTTGCACAAATATGAATATCATGTGCTTATCAAATGAGGTCACCAAAATTCTAACACAAGACTTCTCAATTACATGCAATCTAATATTTATTCTCAACTAACTATTATATCTTATTTATACATTTCCCTCCGAGCCCGAAGCAAGTCCCGAATTCCTGTTACACTCTTCCTCTGCTCCTAACTGTTTAGGCCAACTTCAATGCAGGTCCCCAAATTTGGGGATTGCCACCATTTTCTTCAATTTGGCTCCAATACTACCATCCCCAAATTTGGGGATCTTTCCTTTTTTCTAGTTTTTGTTTACTTAAAAATGTACTCATTATCATCTTAATATAATTTGTTCATGTTAATTTTTGTATAGTTCGTCATCATTTTTAAAATAAAAATTTTCCAATAGAATTTTTCAAATTCCGAGACCGATTTTTTTGGGCAAAAAATAATTGGCCTAAGTTGGGTTTACACACATAATAGTTCAAATGATACAACTCAGAGTTTACACACAACACTTGATAATGATAAAGGTTAACGGTTACACACAACACTTGAAATGATAAAGATGAAACACATAACATGTTAGTAATCGCCCAACATAGAATAGTAATTCCCGTAATCTCCTCCTCCATTTTCATCTCCTCCTCCGGTCTCACTTGCGTTGGATCTTGGCTAGAAGCTAAAAATTAAGCAACCAATCAAATGCTCGAGTGGGGAATCGAGCACAACATCACCTGGCAGAGAGTTTCAGTCACTTACCGGTAGGCTACAACAACTCTTGGAATTATATTTAACTTTACTTCATACTGTATTATGGTATACGTGAACTAATATTAGACACACAAGTAAAACATACATCTAATTGTTTATTCCTAATTCACAATCCCTAACTCACTTTCAGCTTCTCCTCCGAAACCAAACTCTGTCGCAAACTCTCACCCACCACCGCAATTCGTCTCGATTAACCTCCAATTGTAGACGACCATCTCCGTTGGTCTTCCATTTGTAGTCTATCTCGGATTGATCATCTCTGCAGTACTTGGTTCCTCGCTAACCTTACTTTTTTAAATTTTCATTTCAGAACCAACTTAAACAAAATCCTAGCTACGCCCATGGTTATTGCTTGGTATCGATGCTGGGATGCTTTGTAATTCAATTAAAGTTGTAGCTGGTGACAATTTATTTTATAATTCAAGAACGCATTTTCATTTCAATAATATATTTTCCATTCTTAGTTCGGTCTAGTTTTTGTTTACACACAACTTCAAGATGATAAACATAAATTTTAAATAAAATGAATTCAATTTAAGTCATCTTATCAAATAAAATAAGATGACTTAACTAAGAATCGAAATGGCGGATCCGCCAATGTATAGATCCACCAACCGCTAGTCGGACCAATTACGTTTTATGTTTAAAAAACAACTTATCTTAGTGTCATGCTATCTTCAAAAGGAAAATAAATGTTTTAAATAACATCTTACTGTTAATCTTTGTAGTCTCTTGAGTATATTCTCTATCTAGGTTTATGAGAAATTGATGGATTATATACTCATTTATCAATCATAATTGAAAATACTCAACAATCCCTCAATGATTTTGATCATTGTCATAAACTATATATATTTGTAAGTTAATATATTTTATTGAATGTGTGTTATGTTATATCTATCTAGGATTAACTCTCCAGCAATACTTATTGACCATTAACTTAGTATATCATGATATTATTTTGTGAAAATGTTTTTTTTTTTTGGTAGGAAAACGGAGTGCTACGGGCACTCCAACCGTTAGATATTAATCATACGAGATGTTTCCACCCCCATTACATCGAAGTACATCCAATAATTCAGAAGCGGATCCGGCTCTTCTCTGGAATGGAAACCGATCGGCAGCCGATGTCCCACTGAGGCGAGGTAATCTGCAGCATAATTTCCTTCACGAAAGACATGGACAAGTCGAACTTGCCACTCCCTGTCCAGCAACCGGCGAGCAGACTGCACCGCCAGGAAATGAGGAGTCCTCTCGTCTGCTCCTTCAATCAGCTGGATCGCGGCTTGTGAATCAGTTTGGATCACCACCCGCCTGAAGCCCTCTTCCCATGCCATCCTCAAACCATATACAATACCCTCCATTTCAGCTCGCGTGATTGAAGCTTCGCCCACATTCCCTGCGAACGCTTTCAGGATTCGCCCACTTTCATCTCTTAAAACACCCCCTGCCGCAGCCTGACCATTCTTCACCGAGCCATCTGTGTTTAAGGCGACCCACCCCCTCGCCGGCGGTTCCCATCTGATTTCTTGCGCGCACCTCATCGGAGAGCTCTTCCCTTCTAGTACATTCCTCTTCGAGGACTCTTTTACTTGTTGGAGTAGTTCAGCCGCCTTGCGCCTGATTACTTCTGGTGGGCTTAATTCTTGTTCAAACACCGACTTGTTCCTATTCTTCCATAAAAGCCAGCTAACCCCCGCAAAAAGAGTGGGATCAATGTTCTTGCTACGGCCAGAGAGATAGTAAAGAGCCCACTGAGTCCTGTTCTCCTGGAAGAAGACCCCGTCTGGCTCGTTTCCCAGAATATCAGCCCACACAGCACGAGCCAGGGAGCAGTCCCTAACCACATGAATCGCACTCTCCAGCTCGTGATCACATATAGGACATGCTTTTGTCGTACTCAAGTGCCTGCGATATCTTTCGCCATTCGTCAGCAACCTGTCATGCACAAAAAGCCAAAAGAATGATCGAATACGCTGGGTTGCCGGGATCCGCCAAACCGCTATTAAAGTATATTACCACTATTAATATGACGTATCAATCCAACACGGAAAGAAGTGTCTATTAATAATTAAAATGAATTAAGTGTCCTTAAAAGCATAAACCTAATCTCTAGATGGCAGTGGAAATTTTTCCAGCTATTTATTAATATCCACAAATTCTTTCTTTTATATTTTGGATAGTTCAATGACAAAACTACCCTTTCTACAAACACAGGTTGGAAATTCTAAACAAAAGATGTTTTGAAGGAGAACCTCCATATAGTAATGAGAGGATAGATAGGGGTGAAATACAATCACTTCTCCTAAAGGGGTTGTGATATTCACAACCAAGAGCAATTTGGGTATGAAAGAATGAAGAATTTATTAATTATTTTTTTTTGTATTAATTACACATTGAGAATTAAAAACCCATATTGAATACATGTTTTTTTTATTTAAATCCTACAATTAATACACTTATATCTCTCTCTATATCATTTTTCCTTTTCTAGCAGCGTCTCCGCTCCGGCCGCCAAACTTTCTCCCAGGGACGGAACGAGCTTGTTGGCAAGGGGCCATGGTCCCCCTAATATTTTAAAACTATGTAAATTGCATGTAAACTCACTCTAAAAGATAGACTAAGTGGTTAGTATGACAGCTCATGTTTCTCTAAATGGTGGAGGTCAGCACCACAACCTCGTATAATTTTTTTTTTGAATCAGCTGTTACTATCTTCTCTTTGTGTACAAGGCTATAAGTTGTATGGGCTGGAGACAGTAGTTCGATCCACACACATACAATTGGCAGTTTTCGTGAATAATTTGTTAATATCTACTCTTTATTCTTAGTTTGATTAATTTTTTTTTACATATATAAGCTTAATTTTTATTGATGCATCAAAAATATCATTATTTTGTGAAATATTGGATTCATTTCTTTGTTACATTTTAGCTTAATTACATTTTGGAAACAAGAGGACGCATTCCCACATGGTGTTCGATGACTTCCGGCCAACACCCATCAGCACGGTGTCGACCATGGTGGTTAGTATATAACATTTCGTTTTATAGAATAGTTTCCATTTTTTTGTTTTAGATATATGAGTAATCATGTGACCACTTTTTGTGTGTAGTGGTGTCCTTACATTGAGAGAGCCCAGGACCTCAAAGGTAGTGTGATCCAATCTGATACGTTTCGCGCAGTAGTTCCACTAATCTACTTTTCATTGGTGATGTGGGACCATCCAGATCGGGTGCTCCAACAGTTTGGTATGCTGCTGAGGTTAGGTTTTTCCTTCGCCCCATCGCGGGTCATCGCGTGGGCAGCAGTTGGTACACGCCTCCAGAGAGGCGCTTGATTTGTGGAGCCATCGACATGAGTTCATAGCAAGGATGCCATACAGCAAGGAGGCTTTAGCCTACCACTCGGATCATATGGAGTGGTATCGAGATGTTACCAGACGTTCAGGCACACGGAGAGGAGTTGCAGTGAACGCAATGGTTATTTTTATTGATTGTTTACTATTGATTGTCTTATTTGTTTTCAAATTCGTATTTGTGTGGAATCTTTGATATTTTAAATTTAATATTTAGTTCGACACCATGGAGTACACTCAGCTGAGTTTACGTGATGGAGCACAGGATGGAGGGATGTCCAGTGATCGGATGATGCTGTTGGCCGACATGTTGGGAGCAGGTGTTGTTGCTTTAGGTTTGGACAAGCTCTTCCATCCTGATGTGACAGTATCTGTACAGCGGTATCTTGTTGAGCGCATCCATGATAGATGGCCAGAGCGTACGGATCCGACACCAGAGTGGGGTGTGCCAGAGCCTTAGTTCAGGCATCAGCCAAGTAGGCGTAGGTGGCGACGTGAGCAGCGCGACGTACCTAACCCAATGAGGATTTCAGATCGTCAATGAGTACAACCTGTCTGGCCTACTACGACCTTCCACTTCCATCCGTAGTTTCAGCTGGACACTTATTCGGGATTTCAGCCAGGCACTTCTTCGGGATTTCAGCCAGGGCCTTATTCGAGAATTCAGCCAGGCACTTCTTCGGGATTTCATCGGACTTCTCATCCACAGTTTCAGTCAGGGCCTTATTCGAGCTTTCAGCCACCTGACGATAGCTTCCATACACCGCAACATGCTATGATGGGAGGCGGATACATGACCTCAGGTAGTGATACTAGAGCAGCCTCACAGTTAGACCCGTGGGACCATCTAGATAGTGATACTACTTTTCAGAAATCGATGTGGTCTTATGAGCAGCAGCTTCTGCCGCAGGGGGTTTGATGGTGGTGCACCAAAGGAGCATATTCAGTCTTAGGTGGATGATATGTTCGGTACACACGATCAGGATGATACGGTGGAGGCAGATCATCCCCAGCACGATGATGGTATGACTCCACGGAATGGGCAGGCACTAAAGTGTGGTACTGGCGGCCATCTAGTGGATCAGCATGGTGGTCGTTAGTGATACTATTATGTTTATGTTATTATTATGTACTTCTATTGATATTATGTATCATTGTGGACTATATTTAATTTCATGATGAATTAAGTTACTATTATGTATTATGTTATTATTGTCAGTCACGTATAGTGCTATTGTATAAAAAAACAAACAACAAACAACAACAACTACATTTGATAAAAGTTCCAGACAACTTCTTCAAACCATAACAACATCAAACGATAACAGCTACTTGGAAAAACAACAATTACTACATTTGATAAAAGTTCCACCAAACTACATACCACGTCTATTACCACTACTTCCTCTTCTACCACCTCTCACATGTCGTTTGCCACCACTTCCTCTTTGCTGGCTCCCACTGCCACTTGCTTGGCCACCACAAGTTGATGCTTCTTCTAACCCTTAGGTTCACCAAGAGGTGTGAAACTTGTCCCATAACAAGCCAACACTATTGCAAGCTTGTAGATGTCGTTTACAAACTTATAAGGGTTAGCCCCCATTCAGTTGCAAGTTTCAATGGCATGAGAGTAAGGAATTTTATTTCCATGACATTTCCCACAAGTCCAAAGTCCCGCACGATTGTTGTCGACGAAGTGCACTGTGAGTGTGTTCGAACCCATCATGTTGAAATTGTTGGGAGGAGTCTAAACTACATAGATGCCCTGACGTCGATCAACCTCCGTCACGGAATGTCCAACTGCCTTTTGTGACCACGGCTTCATCAGCTCTTCGCAAGGTTTTGTGTACTGTGATTGACCACTTCTGATTTGTGCTTCTCTCTCCAACCTCATCTTATCGAATTTCTCAGACAATCACCAATAAGTAGTTGCACAAGAGAAACTATAGGAAGTGAACGAATACCTTTTGAAAACATCATTGATGCTCTCTGCCATGTTGGATGTCAGGATAGAGCATCAAACCCCACCATTATAGTTATCATGTGCTAAACTCCAACGAAGTTGATTTTGGTCCACCCAGTTATCACAAGAAATATTCCTATCAGCAGACATCTTCTTAAATTTCTCAACTTGAAGATCGAACTTCTCCAAGCGTTTTTCTCAGGCTAACAAGATAAATAACCACACGAGTTAGATAAATTCATGACAAAATTAGACAAAAATAAATAATACATTAAAATAAATAACAATAACGATACCGACTCGAAATAGTTGGTTATACATAATTATGCTTTTAGTCTTCCTTTGCAAGTTGCTTGCATAGTGTCGCATGCACCACCTCCAGTCCCAACCTCTTCCGATGTCACTCATGGCTACATAGAGTCTCGCATGTCTATCTAAGATGATGCATACATCATTTCGATCGGTCAAACCTTGAACGTGACTTATGAACAATGGCCAACTATCAATATTCTCTCTCTCCACTATGGCAAATGCAATTAAAAAAATCTTCTTCCGGACATCAAATGAGCTCGCCATCAATAGCACTCCGTTATACTTTCAAGTAAGAAATGTTCCATCAACAACCATGACTCCTGGACAATTCTTGAATCCATCTATACAAGGTCCATAAGCCCATAATACTCGCTGAAAGATCAAATGACCTGGTTGCGATGAAGGAACTCTTACCCAATCAATCACTGATGTTAGCATTTTTCTCTTTACCACCCGCAAGAATGTTTGCAAATAATCATAGGATTCTTCCTAATTTCCATGCAACTTCTCCAATGCTCTTTATTTCCCATACCAAGTCTTCTTGTAAGTAACTTGCATATTAAATTTATCTTTCAACTCTGCCTGGACAGTTAGAACACTCAGATTTGGTTGGGCACGTACCAAATGTTTCACGGACTCAGATATAACGTCGATATCAAGATGGCGATGATCCATCGGTTGAGTCGTACTGCTACAAGAATGCACCAACTCGGCCTTTCTCACATTTCATTCGCTTCCAACATCTCGACATCCAAACAGCACCATCCAAGGACAATTGTCATCCTTGTGCTTCAAGCATCTGTCCTTCCAGATTGAAGGTGACGACTCCATCATGACATACTGAAAGTTGCGTTGTAGTGCGTGGTATTTAATCGCCACCTGTGCAGCTTGTTTCGAGTGAAATATATGCCC